GTTTATATCACCTAGATCTAGGCCAACGGCATTATTAATATCGTTTCAGATTACTTATTTATTTTAATTACAAGATATATCATTTGTATCATTTTCATTCCAGTAATAATGCTAGTCTACCCAAATTATCTTCATAGTTCCTTCATAAAGATATTCATGATCATCCAATAACACTCAAAGCCTCAAAGGTAACATAAGATTGGAGATGTATGAGATTGCGTTACACAAGTGGCATAAGCATTAGAATATTATTGTACTAGTCAATAAGGCGTACAATCATTCACATTATCACTTTATAAAACTTTCTTATACAAGTATTTTGTAAAGGGAAGGACTAAAATGTTTATAAAACACATTTTTTTAGCTTTTCTTAAATTAAACCAGATATTAAGTAAAAGAATTTTAATAAATACAGAGGCCTCCCAAATCTGTAGCCATAATTATTTAATAACATTACCACAAATCCAGCAGATAAATAGCATTAAAGTTAGAGTAATATCAACAAGCAATTAAAAAAAGTCACCATTTTCATTAATTAAAATTCACAATACATATACCAATACATAATGAAACTACTATCACTACTACCCAGATTAGATTTCAGATTTATCAACTGAAACATCATCAAGTTTAGGGTTGCAAAAAATGATACATGATAAGATGAAGGGAGGAGTGAGAATGTGAGTGATTTGGGAGCAGAATCTTGAAGCAGAATCTTGAAGCAGCAGCACAGCACCCAAGAGCAGAGGAAATAGCATCAACAAGCAGGAACCAGCACACGCAATAACAGATCAGCAACTTATCAGAAGCAAGGAATAATATAAGCAAAAGGGACTCAGCAGGAACTTATTTTTGTTTTTCAAAATTGGTCTCAGATTTACGTTTATCGTATCATCACTGAGCAATGGATGTTTTAACTAAGGGCAACGATGATTCAAGAAAAATTAAAACAACAAGCATAAGAAACAGCAGCAACAAAACTTATCATAAATTCATAACACAAAAGGCAGCAACACAACACCTCAAGCTGGCAGGAGGCAGGAACCAGCTCATGCAGGAAACAATATAGGCAATAACAACTCAGAGACAACAACCAAAAGGCAAAAGCACTACCAGCAGGCAACAACTCATAACAAGTTCAAGCAACTTCAAAATTATAGCTTTTGTTTTTTAAAATTGCTCTCAGATTTACATCACTGAGCAATGGTTGTTTTAACAAAAACTTGAGAAATGCTGCCAGCAAATACCAAAATACATTTAACTATTTAAGTCTCGACATAAATGACAAGGGCAACGATTTTAAAAGTCTTGAAAAATGCTGCCAGCAAGTCTGAAAATAAATGACAAGGGCAACGATTTTTCAAGATAAAATAAACCACAATGAGACTCAAATACCAGTTATGCAGATGAAGCACTTTCGGCTTCAATCTCTTTACCAATAAGGAGGACGTCTTCCTCAACATCCGCTTGATAACCACGACACCAATTTTGGGTGGTAACCAATGCCTCAACATTCTTTGGCAAAAGTTTACCCCTATATTTGTTCAAAATACGACCACCCAAACTAAAAGAAGATTCAGAGGCCACCGATGTAATAGGAATGGCCAAAACATCCCTTGCCATATTAGCTAAAATAGGAAGAGAAGAAGCTTGAGATTCCCAGTACTTGAGAACGTCAAAATGTTCCCCTTGAATTAATCGCGAACGAGGTCCATTCAAATATGCCTCAAGATCAGCCAGAGGGCATCTAGTTGAATCATCACATTCGTCATCAACCTCATGCAACTGAAACAGATTTTCTATTAAAAGTTAAATTATGACATTACAAATAAAAATAGAAGACTACCATTCATTTTAAGCATGCATGATTTCCCTGGTAAGTCATTTTTTTCAGTAAGGCATAAGGACCCACAATTGAATTTCAATGGATAAATTCATTCTTGAGTACAAAATATGCCAATTATTACAAGTATGCAATTGACAGTATGGTCAACCATCATTTTTTATGGAGTATGGACCAAAGCATGAAGCACAACTGCACAAGTATTCCAATAAATAAACAATGCATGTATTCCAACAATAATAATCACATAATCTGAACAACCCATCATCATTACTTTTAAATCGAGCATAATAAACAACAAAACAACACAAATCTACCATTTTCCCGTAAAAAACAAAAATACAATCAACAACAGATTTTAGGCATATTTCGACTATATTCAAGCAAGAACAACAACAATAATCAAATACAAAAACAGAAAAACTGTATTAAAAAAAAAACGAAAAGGAAAAAGTAATTACCTTTGACGACTTGAAGGAGATTTGAAGATGGAGAACTGCCTCAACTGGAGACCAAAAGAAAAAATCAAGAATGTAGATTATCAGAACTTGAAATAAAAAAAAAAACCGAAACGAAAACGAAAAAAATCGAAAAAATTAACAAAAAAAATTACCTTGAGGTTTGACGGCTTGAAGGAGAGGAAGATTTGAAAAAAAAAAAACGAGAATGGAAAAGTCAGAAATCAGAACTTTAGATCCAAAACAAAAAATGAAACGAAAACAAAAACCCTAAATAAAAAAAGTAAAAAACAGAAACGAAAACAACAAAAATCAAAACGAAAACAACAAAAATTAACAAAAAATTACCTTGAGGTTTGACGGCTTGAAGGAGAGGAAGATTTGAAAAAAAAACGAGAATGGAAAAGCCAGAAATCAGAACTTAGATCCAAAACAAAAATGAAACGAAAACAAAAACCCTAAATAAACAAACCGAAACAAAAACGAAAAAAATCAAAACGAAAACAACAAAAATTAACAAAAAATTACCTTGAGTTTTGAACTTTTGACGGCTTGAAGCCTTCAAATTGAAGGAGAGGAAGATTTGAAAAAAACAAAAAAACGAGAATATAAAGCGAGAAATCAGAACTGTAGATCCAAAACACAAATGAAACGAAAACCAAAAACCCTAATTAGGATTTTTAAAAGTTGAGATTCTTGAGAATTTCAGAACGAAAGAGTGAGAAACTGAGAAGTTAGAGAGAGAAACTATGATAGATTGAGAATAGAAGAGTGACTGAGTGAGTAAAAGTGTAAAACGGCTGAATGGCTGATAGAGTGGGTTTTTTTTTCTAGGTTTAGGTTTTACTTGTTCAGTTGATCTAACCGTCCATATTCAATCTCAACATCTAACCGTTCATTTTTTTTTGTAGATTCCAGAATATTCATCTAGATCTAACGGTCTAGATTTTTCTTTGTGCTTTTCTAGGTCTTTTTGACCGTTTTTTTTAATTATTTATTATTATTATTATTTTGAGGGATTATTATTATTATTATTATTATTATTATTGTTAGTATAATTATTTGTTAATATTATTATTATTACTAGTTTACTACTACTATTATTATAATATTATTATAATTATTATTATTATTACTATTATTATTATTATTACTATTATTATTATTATTATTATTAGTTTATTACTTATAAGTTATAAATTGTAAGAAACACAAATGTTTCAAAATTGAAATTGATTCAATACGACATAGTTAATGACTTAATGAGTTAATGCACATCAATATCTGACATCTCTATATGTATATTATATATATCTGTGAGTCTGTGACTGTATATCAGTATATATAATAAACTAATAATAACTTAATAAGTAATAATACTAATAACTAATAAAGTAATGAAAATCTAACCATTGTTTTTCATGGGCATTCAATCTAACCGTTGTATATTTGACTATTCGTACATTAGTATTGCATAATGATTTCATCACCACTTTAATTAGTGATTTCGTGATTTCGTCCATTTAACTTATTAAGTTGTTTGAGTTAGTAATCTAAATAAAGTAACAAACTAAATAACGAATCCATTTAATCTCGTGTAAGTTATAATTTATAAGAAATGCAATGTTTGGAAATGGAAATTGATTCAATACGATATTGTTAATGTATATGTAATTATAGATTAATTATTATGTATATCATATCGTACGAATGTACAGTTGGTATCATTATCATACTATCATAAGTATCATTGCCTTATTGAATTATTGGTATATACTACAATCGATAAACATATTTACATATCTGATTATTAAAACTTAAAAGTTTAAAACACTTGTTGATCAATCTAATTGAATGCTTGTACATTCTTAGTTATCGATTTATCGTATTATAAGTATCAACTCATTAAATCATGGTCATGATTTCGTGATTTCGTCCATTTAACTTATTAAATTGTTTGAGTTAGTAATCTAAATAAAGTAACAAACTAAATAACGAATCCATTTAATCTCGTGTAAGTTATAATTTATAAGAAATGCAATGTTTGGAAATGGAAATTGATTCAATACGATATTGTTAATGTATATGTAATTATAGATTAATTATTATGTATATCATATCGTACGAATGTACAGTTGGTATCATTATCATACTATCATAAGTATCATTGCCTTATTGAATTATTGGTATATACTACAATCGATAAACATATTTACATATCTGATTATTAAAACTTAAAAGTTTAAAACACTTGTTGATCAATCTAATTGAATGCTTGTACATTCTTAGTTATCGATTTATCGTATTATAAGTATCAACTCATTAAATCATGGTCATGATTTCGTGATTTCGTCCATTTAACTTATTAAATTGTTTGAGTTAGTAATCTAAATAAAGTAACAAACTAAATAACGAATCCATTTAATCTCGTGTAAGTTATAATTTATAAGAAATGCAATGTTTGGAAATGGAAATTGATTCAATACGATATTGTTAATGTATATGTAATTATAGATTAATTATTATGTATATCATATCGTACGAATGTACAGTTGGTATCATTATCATACTATCATAAGTATCATTGCCTTATTGAATTATTGGTATATAGTACAATCGATAAACATATTTACATATCTGATTATTAAAACTTAAAAGTTTAAAACACTTATTGATCAATCTAATTGAATACTTGTACATTCTTAGTTATCGATTTATCGTATTATAAGTATCAACTCATTAAATCATGGTCATGACGCGATCTTTAAAAAAATCATGAATTCATGACCTAAACCGCTTATAAATCGAACCGACATGATCCAAACCGTTCATAAACCGAACCAATTGAACTGTGTAAACCCTCCACTAAACCGGCCCATTTCAAACTGAACCGACATGATTCGCACCGTTTATAAACCGAACCGATATTGACCCGGGTAAACCCGCCCCTAAACCAACCCATTTCAAACCAAACCGGCTTGATCCAAACCGTTTGTAAACCGAACTGACATTGACCCGGGTAAACCCGCCCCCTAAACCGACCCGTATCAAACCGAACCGACATAATCTGAATCGTTTATAAACCGACCCGCTTATGACCCAAACCAAATTTAAACCGCAAAGAAATAAACCAAAACCAAACCGAGCCGTGACTAACCCAAACCGAACCAAACCGACCCGCCAGCTAAACTAAACCGTTTCAATCCGAACCGCTCCAAACCAAAACCGACTCAAACCGAGGTCAAACCGAACCGCCAGACCGAAGTCCCACCCCTAATTCATCACTCTTATAGCTTAAGCATGCTGAAGCATCAAGCACCCCTATTGGACTTTGTGGCACTGATGTTGCACCATTTGATCTATTGTTCATTCTCATTTCTTGCATCATTTCAACACACTTCATTAATCTCTCCTGCAAACATTGATCAAAGACGAGAAATCGAGTCAATTTCATTTTCCGTAGTAGGTCTTGTATACAATGTGTGTGTATAATAGACATGTTTAGTTATCGATGAAATTGTGATCTAGGATGACTAAACATGTTGTATAATAGACATGTTTAGTATTCGGCTTTTGTTGGGGTAGCTTTACCTGATCAGTAAGAAAAGAGAATGCTTTATCAGTGCATTCAACAATTTGGTTTTGCTGTGTTACAGAAATTGCCACTGCTGCTGCAATTTCTGAAGGTCTGAATTCCATCAAGTCAATTCCTGCATTCAATTCTCTCAACCAATCAATAAACCAAACCAAACCCACTTCATCCATTTTTTTTTACTATTTCACCAACTAAAGATTGAAAATTAAAAATAAATTTTAAAAATTTAAGGATGGAAAATTAATTATACCTTTGATTGTGCTTAGGATGAGTTGGATGGCTTGAAAAATTAGACTTTTTGGTGGCATTTTATCTCCACTCAATTTATATAGAAAATAGTCTATGAATGAAAATGGTGTCACTGATTGCATTCTCCACTTCAAAGTGCTCAACACTAAAAGTTCCATTCTTTGGATTGTATTTGCTTCAAATACAAACTTGCTATCACAAACCTGCACATTATTATTACCAATCCATATGAGTGTCCAAAAGTCATCACAATCAAGTCCTTTACTAATCACAACGCGCACTACGTCTGTCCCGATTTAGTTGTCACATTATCGATTCGTGTTATAGCTAGGAGCCTATGATCAGATCATATCAATGTGACTATTAATTCCGGATGCATTAACAGTTCCAATTACACTATCAACATGACAATTAATATCGGGCGGAGGGAGTAATGTCATAGATTAATAACAAGAGTATGTATGACTCACTTGTAAATCTAAGATGAGGGGAACATCAGTTTCATCCACTTTGGCAGCTAGAGATAAACAAGCAACCCCAATTAGTTGCATCATCCAAGCTTTGCCCTTCTTCAATACCAAAAAAAACATCAAATTGATTAGCAATTGAAATGACATTAATTAGATTTTATTAGTAGATTAGTAACTAAACTTTGATGATTAAATAGATGCTTACAGGTAATTCATAAGCTGAAAGGAAGCGATCCAAATAGTTTACAGACAGATAAACACAAAGTGGCCCAAAATTATAATGGGATTGAACCTGTTAAATCAACATAATAATGTGATTAGTACTTTAATTAATGAGGATAATCCAATATTAAAGGTAATCAATGTATAATAAATCAAATAATGGCAAAAAACATGACAATGTGGTTCATCATTTGCAAAAGAACATTACTTACCATGGAAGGTAAGAAATGCCAAACATGCTTAGCATAAAGTTGTACCAAAAAATAAAAACAAGATTTTTATTAAAAAGTTGTAATTAATCAAACTTATTATTAGTTCCACTAATTAGTTTTACAAACCCCACCAAAAAAAAATTCATCAAACAGAAAAGATGTAAGAAACCAATTTCTCCACCGATTTTATTTTTATTAAAAGAAAAGAGAAAAAGATAACCAATCAGAAAACAAGATGAAACGTTTTGATAATGAAATGTTGGGAAACTAAAAAAAATTAGAAGAAAAAAGCACTGGAAAAAAAATAGAATAAATAAAAAAGAAAAAAAAAAGGAAAAATACCCACCTTATGAATCCAATCAATAACCAGATTTCTAGCACTCAAATCCAAATCCCCATTTCTTAATTTCTTCAAATAATCAAGACCCAGAAAATATTGCCTTTCATTTTCAAGCAATGAAGCCAAACATTCATGATTTGCCACAAAAAACCCAGAATATAAAGCTTCAAAGTTGTGTTCTTGATTATGATTATTGTTATTATAATAATAATTAATGTTAATATTATCAAAGTTTCGTAGATTCCCATGTTGTTGATGCAAGTTAGAAATCTGAAAAACATCATCGTCAACAACCCCAAAATAATTATCATCAACTTCATCAAAAATGCTTGAGTTATCCTCTGCACACAAAAGATCAAAACTTGGTGCCATTTTCTTCAACTCTTGCTCTGTTTCTTGCAACTTTCTCTCTCTAAAAAAAACTCAACTCTTTCTCTCTCTAGAAAAAACACAAAAAACTTCAAAGAATGGATTTTTTCTGCATCTACTGAAGATAAATTAACCAACTTTTTTTTCTGGGTAGTTTTGATTGATAGATTAAAAAGAACAGATTTTTGATTGAACAAAAAAATAAAAAAAAAATGAAAAAATGGAAGATTTTTGGAGAAAAAAATAAAAATAAAAAAGCAAAATTTATATTACAGAGAAAAAAAAGAAGGATGTCTGAAATGGGTTTTGGGTAGAAGAGACTGCTGTGGTGTGAAGAGTGGGGGGGTTTTGTAGGAGGGGAAATGGCTCTAGGGTACTGTGTACTTTAGAGAGAGAAAGAGAGAGTTTTTAGAGAGAGAATGAGGAAGATGTGTATAAATATTTTGGTTGTATCATAAAAATATGGGGTGATTACACGTACTCTACTTGTGTTGTATGAGTGGAGAGTGTATTGTCTAGAGATGGTATACTATCATTTAATTTTAATTTTTGTATTTTTTTATATAAAAGAAATTAATATACTACAAACTTTTTCCGTTTTTTTTTTAATCGTTGAGAGTTACGGAGTATTACTAAACATGTTAAACGTGTCAATTGAGTCTAAGTTGGCCGGTCAATGTAATTACTTGTGAAGTTGTAATAGTAGTGTTATAACTTTTCACGAGCTTAGCATTGGTCAAGGCAAGCCCTTAGCGGTTGTTGGTTAATTTGGTCAACTTAGCAGTTTCTACAAGGTCTAACAATAAGTCTGTAACGATTGTTAGTTCATGATTATAATGTATATAATATTTTTATATTTGTTTATAGGAAAAATATATTGGAAATCAATAAAGGTTGAAAGTTAGAATTAAACATGTCAGTTAAGTCTGAGCTGGCCAGTCAATGTAATTACTCCAACTAAAAACGTTTTAACTTTTCACAACCTTAGCATTGGTAAAGGCGAGTATTTGGTTTTGCCGAGTCAAATTTGTTCAACTTATCAGTTGCTAGTAAGTCCACAGTAATTCAGTAACGATTCAATATACCACATATCCTATAATATCTCTCTTTTCATAATATAATTTACTATATTTTTATTCTCCGTAATTGTTTGTAGAAAAAATACCGTTAAATATAAAGGTTGACTTTTAAAAAATCAAATGTTAACTAATAAAAAATATGTGTGACATTTAGGAGATAATTTGTCAAATTTGTATGAGAATATCCCAAAATCTTATTTGCAATATTTTATTTTCAAGGGTACGTATAGCGCAAATACACTATCTTCTCGTGTATATTGTACGACTTTTCTTTATTTGTAATGTATTTTGTTGTCAAAAAAAGTAATATATTTATGGGGTGTATTAAGAATAAAATTATCATAAAAGTGGTAAATTTATATTTCCCGAAACCAATACTCCGTAAGTAGGATGTGATTATAGATCAAGAATATCATTGAATTGTGACTCAAAACTCAATGCACACGTTTAATCCAATAGCCGAATCGGTGCATATATCATTTCTCTCAAGGATTTCAATTATATCATATCATCAAAATAAATATCTCAAGAGTCAAAATAAGCAAACATGGCATCGTTTCGATTGTTGATCTCATCAATCTTGTCCCTATCTTATTTTGACATCCTATATATACTTGATTTGCAAACTAACAAAACAAATTTGTTTAATTTGTAATTAGCTTTACTTAATTAATTAAAATAAAATGTAAATCCCTTTATGTTACAAAAGCAACATATTTGAACATTAAACAAACACAAGCGCGCAACATTAATCAATAACTTAACTTTGCAAGAGATATATTTCGATCATCTCTATTATTGAATATTTGAATGCAAGTGATTACTTAGAAGGGAAAAACCTACATATACGATCAAACCATGTTATACTGTGTGCATCAAATGCATATGATAGGTTGCCCCAACTTAACTAGATGCGTGTTATAAGAAAGTAAGAATAATACTCGTTTGCTTATTAATTATTTATCATTGTCAATGTGATTTTTCTTACAAGTATCATTTTATAAATCTTTATTTAGAAAGCATACATCAATTGTTATGATCAACTTTATGCACATTACATACCACCATTTTAGTAGTCACTGCACAATTATCGTTGTATTGGACCTATAGATATCACAAATTCACAAGTGAATGAAACACAAAATGGACACAATGTGAACTATTAGTTTCAATTCTCGTGGTGTAAAGGGGGTCACAAAAAATAGTAACGTTGATAGGATACACCAATGAGTCTTGATGATTATCACTCAACCCATTCAACTACGTTCTTCTCAACTTAAACACGTTTATACTGCTTATATATATCTACTTTAATTCATATAACAACTAAGGTGTGTGTTTATATACACTATACATTGTATCACATTATACACTTTAGTTACACAAATACACAATCTTATCTGATTTTGTATGTAATTTTGTGAAACTATCTTTAAACCATATTACAATTTTAACATCATTAGAAAGTAACTATTAGATGCAAATTATTTGTTTCATGACATCATTCAAATACAGTTACAAAAAAAGTGATTGATTGATAATCTAATAATAAAAACAATATGAAAGTGGAGTATAGATCATTGGAACGTGTCACTTGTTAACATTTTGAAGTTGATAAATTAACAAGGCAAACTCTTTCAAGTTCCCACTCAATTGTCTTATTACATTACAAGAAAGGGGTCACAAATTTACATACTATGCTATATTATTAAATTATTGCTATACTATACTAGCAATACGATTTACTAGGGAGTTTGTATCTAATTATTTAATTAGAGTTAATTAATTAAGTAATCTTAAAATCACTGCGGTAAAATCTAATTAATAGAACTTAGGAAGAGTCAAAAAAGTTGCATTGGGCACCTTATACTAGACAAAACAGGGTCATCATTATACTAAGCAAGCTTACAACATGGAATTTAGCGGTCCAAGATGCTTATGTTAAAATGTAATACTACTAATTTTCAGTCAAATTAGAACCCTGTTACCTTGCTTAAAGCTGCATTATTAAATAATTAATTTACGTTGTTAATTTAATTTTCTTTTGGAGTGTTGCTAACATCAAGTTGTAACTAGTGTACGTCTAAGCATGCTTATGTTGTAAACAAGAATTACTTTGTCTACATTTATATAAAGGAACCAATCATATGGTAATAGTGACGATTAATTAGGGATAAATGATCATTAATTAATTGCATGGCAAACAAGTTTATTTAGTTAATTATATGGTTAGATTTTCAATAGTGGGGATAACTTAGAAAAAGTTTAATTAAATTGAGGTAGGTTTAAGAGGGGGAAAAAGAAAGTAAAAAATTGAATTGTTTATTGGTTAAATAAGAAATTATAAGATAATTTTTTTTTTTGGTGTCAAAGTAGGTAATATCATACTTCTTCATTGCATTTGTTATAATAATGATGTTTAAATCTAGAATTTTATGGAAAACTGTATTAGAACAATGATTTAAACCATGTAATTATATTCTCAATATGATTATTTCTAGCATTGACTTAGATAGTACCAATTATAAGAGCATCCTAGAAATTACTCCAAAAGTTTTTGTGATAAAAATAATTTAATCCGTTGAAAATAATAATTTATAAGCGATTAAGTATAACAAATTGAGAGATCAATGTGGATGTATTAATTAGTTTCGAACTATGTTGAAATTATGAAAATTATGTCAAAGTGATCAAAATTGTTGGGAGTTTTAGTGATTTTACATATGTTTTGTCACGAGTCATCACCAAATTAGCAATTGGAGAATGAAGTGGAGGTTGTGATTATGCACAAAATCCATTAAATATCATTCATTCTAAGATAATCAGTGGCGGAGCCACATTAGAACAAGGGGGGACAGTTGTCCCCCCATTTTCGGAAAAAAAGTTTTTTTTAAAAAAAAAAAAAATCAAGAAAATACAGTAAAAGGCTATAAATAACATATACTTACAGTAGATATCACAATATTGAATATGGTTTGGTGGTTGAGTCCTTAGTAAGGCTGTGGCTTTTTTGTTTTTTTTTTCCCCTACTTCTTGTTTTTTTTATTACATACTCTAATTTTCAACAACCTTTTTAATTTGATTTTTTATTTCCTATTTCTTGTTTTAGGATTTTTAATGTTATTTCTTATTTCCTACTTCTTGTTTTTAATTATCGCTTTAACTAAGTGTGCTTAAACTCAATTTTTTTTTTACATTTCTAATAAATAGATTACTATTAATTAATTGTTTGTAACTGTGTTTTAACGAAATACATATTAATAATATGATTGATTTGAAAAAGTTGAGTTTATTTTTTCGAATGTAACTCAAACCCTGGCCCTTCATAGCTACCATCAATTTGTTTTAACGATAATTATTTGACTTTTTATTTATCAATTATGTGATTACATAACAGGATTTACAAATATAAATTTATTCATTTTTGTTGGATAATTTTCTTAATATACAATAAAACTTTTTTACCCCTCTTTTTCCATATAGAAATAATTGGCATATGTGATTTCAAATAAATATTAAACAATTTAGGTTATCAATTTTTTTCTTGAGATTTTTGCCGAAACTTTAACCTCCAAAATTTGTCCCCCCGAATTATAAATCCTGGCTCCGCCACTGAAGATAATGAATTCTTAAATTATCCAATAATTTTGATATATAAGCCTCAATGAATCCTATGAAATATATGATGTAATGACGATAATAGTAGCTCACAGAGAATTGTTGCTTCTCTTAATTAAATTTGTTTAGCTAGACAATTATAGCATAAATTAAACTTAGTACTATAATATGAGATCCTAATGAGCTCTGTTATCAAACAGTAAACAACAAGTAGCTAGGTTACAAATATCTTACAGGCTTACACATTTTACTTGATTTTTACTCAAATAGAATTATTATTACTAATTAAAACTAAATTATACTGTTAGCAGCTTTCTTTTACTTATTATTGAAACCTTTTGACTAGCTCATAATATAGTTTGTTATTTGTTACATGATGATACAATATTTTCACAAATATATTTCTGGTTTTTGTATTGGTTTTAATTAAATTTATTCTATACTTGTTATATTTATAAGAATTGATTTGTGTTAATTAAAACTTTTATATCACATGTTGAACCTTCTTTTAGTAAGATAAGGTGATCGGACAAATTATCAAGTAGTGATCAAACAATGCAAGGTTTACCAATCCTACCATAGTACCATAATATGGCTTGCTTATTCCTATTTAATTTTATTATTCTCAACCCTCTCCCATACGATTTTTACTAAAACCGGATGTTATATTATTACAAAAACCATCCAAATTAAGTTGATAATTGAGATAATTCCTTTCCTCTTGACAATTATATATCCACTTTAGCCCTTCATTGTTTTGCCTAATATTCCCGTTTCCTTTTATGGTGTTCCAAAATAAGTTAATGGACATTGAATTCACAAACACATAAGGAGACAATCAAGTGATTACTAGATTCACGACCCTCTTTACTACTGATGAATCCTCATGTTTGTGAAATCACATTTCATCCATTCATTTCTACTCAAATACATAATGATCACTAGATACATAACGAGTATTAATGTACTTATCCTCTCAAACAAGAATTTTGCTGCATATACATCAATATATGTCTAGTAGGAATTACCTTGAACTAAAGGAATAACATTATTGTTACCTTGTTCAACCTCAAGGGTTTCCTCAACTCTCAACCCC